TGCAAGCTGTCAGGCAAGGGTTTCAGGATATCGGCGCCTCCTCTCTACAGTCTGCTCATGACCTTCTAAGGTCCAGGGTGTTAAGACTGGAGGTATGGTTAAGTCACTTCTAAATATTTATATAGATATCAATGAAGTTTCTTTATTTGCACAATGAAAAAAGGTGATGCTATTTGTTGACTGACTCCCCATTTCCTATTTAACCTCTCTCTATTTGACTTTGTTGAAAAGCTAGATACTGTAGTTCTAAAAAGAAAACCCTTTTGTACCGTTGCATCTTAAACGCAAAAAGTTACGAAGTAGAAAAAGAAATTGCAGCAATTTGTTAGGATGGATTTAGGCCAAGTGTTTTTCTGTCAGAAAGGATTAATCTCATGGAAGTCAGAACTCAATTAAATCCCTTTTCTTGGTTTTAATATATACCTTGAATTTAACAACAAAGGATTAGTGTTTCCTTGAAATTTTAAGTCACCTGAATGGATTCCATTGACTTAAAAACAAAATGTAAACAACTTTTTTGTATATTTAAGTGTAAGATTGTATAATGAGCCTTTCTCAACCGGGGTATGTTACTTAATTGTGGGTTGTATAGGGGGAGACTCTTGTATTTGTTTTGAGTCTGCAGTTTGCCATGTTTACAAGCCACAAGTGTTTTTGCATCCACAAAACTTTGTTCATTGGTCCCTGTAACAATAACTTTTATTGATTTTGCATGTTTCATTCAAGGATCAAATTTATCTTCTTAATATTTGGTCTTTTCTTCCCAGGTCCGGACTGGAGCAGCACAGGTTGAAGGTGGAGTTCATGGGTTGGTTTCTTATGAAAAGAAATACTACTAATGTGTGAAACCATCCATCCCAAATTATAAGCGGTGCTATGATCCCTTGTTGCAGTTGACCATAAAAGAAGGGAACACACTGTTATTGGGTTAGTGGCAACTTCTTGTTACTGTGTCAAGCGAATTGAAGTCTAACCTCCAATAGAACATCGTGAAATTTTTTTTCCCGAGGTTCTGAAGGAAGAACACTGATTTCGTGGGAGTTTTATATCCATTAGGCTTTGTTTCGTCAAATGTGTCATGGACTTGATATGTTTTGCATGTCTCATGTTAACGTTTTTGTTATCCATAGTGCCGCAAAAACTTTTGCTAGCAATAGTTAATGTGTATGTGGCCTGTATGTGCCCTACTTAGTGGTATATACAAGTCCAGTTGAATACTTCTAGTTTTAATTTATTCCTAATAAACATAAGATCCTAAATATTTATTATTATGGTCCTTACCCAAGTCTTTTTTAATCTCTGCTATTAATATCATAGTAGATTTGGTTAAATTTGAACACATGAACTAATTTTAACATCTTTACTTACTGTGATTTTGTCAAGAAGGCCGTGTATATATTATTGCAGATTTAAATATGTTTTTTAGTCTCTTAATTGTTTGTTTTCATTAAATTATTTCTAAAATATAAAAATATTAAGTGTTTGTAACGAGGACTTAATATTTGATTTGTTTTATTTGATAGATTTGATTTATCAGATTTAATTTTAGGGTTAAATACATTTTTAATTTCTAATATTTTCTAAAAATGAATTTTGTTTCTTATATTTTAAAAGTTAGCAAACTGATTTTTAAAAAATAATATAAATTCAGTATCTTAGTTAATTTTATAATAGTAATAAAGTATTACTAATTATCAGTATAAGGAATAATTAAAATCGTTTTTATTCATTTTCTTAAAATGAAAAATTATAATTAAATATTAAATTTAGGTATTAAAAAAAATCAACATCACATATTTTAAAAAATAGTTAGAAATATAAGGATTAAAGATAAATTAAAAAAAGAATATATATATATATATATATATATATATATATATATATATACATATATATATATATATGTATATATATATATATATATATATATACATATATATATATATATATATATATATATATATATATATATATAAACTAAATAAATAATACATGCCTTTTTCCCTTAATTTTGTTCGGTCTAATACACACAATTTTATAAGTTGGTTTTACAGACATTAATTCTAGTGATAAAAATCTTTACAGACATTAATTCTAGTGATAAAAATCTTAAATGACCTCGTATATTATTTATTTTGTCTATACTTGTGAATACAAAATCTCTTAAGATATTATTTAAATAATATTTATTTTAATAATAAATTTATTTTAAAATCTTTAAATAATTTTTGTAAATTATTTAAAAATTTAGTATTTTATTCCATATTAATAAGTGGTAATGATTAAAAAATAAATCCATCATTGATTTTAATAGTGATACAAAGGAAAAAAAATAGAAAACGATTTTAAAGTTTTTCTACTGAAAGAGTCATTTAATAATTTTTGTCAAAAATTAAAATAAATTTGTCCGTTATATTGATTTAGATCCATTTAAAATTTAAAAAATAATAATTAAATCTATAAAAATAACACCTCCTTCGACTGTCAATCCAATTATGTTAAAAAAGTAACATGTATCTTTGTAGAGAAACACACTAATAATTAAAATAAAAGTATTAAAAAATTACATTCACCACATGATTTAATTTAATTATGAGCTTTTGGAGTAATTAATATAGTTTTTTTTCTTTAAAAATTATAATTAATATAAAATATTATTAAATAAAGATTCTTAGTAACACATGACATTTTTTATTTATTTATTTATCAAATTTTGTATAAAAAATAGTATTTAATTAATATAATATATATAAGTAATATTTTGATAGATTAATAATATCATTAATATTTTAAATTATATAATTATAAAAAGTCTATTGGTTCGTTAAGTACATTGTACATAAATTTTTTATTTTATTTTATTTGATAGAACCAATACTACACTCTAGTATCTTTAAAAGGAGATGTTTATAAAAATTATTTAAGAATATAATTATTATTTTATTATAAGTTCATATATAAAAAATATTTAAATATTAATCAAATTTATTTATATAAACATTTAAAATTTTTAAATAATATTATTTATTTTTAAATAACTCATTCATATATATATATATATATATATATATATATAATAATAATAATAATAATAATAAAATATTTTATTTTATTTTTAAACAACTTTTCATTACAATTTTCTTTTTTGGAGATAATGTTATTATACATATTATAATTATATGACTTTTTTTCTTTTTAAAATTTTTTCTTCAAATATTATTCTAGTATGTACTTTCACATTTATTAATTCTTGTGTAGTGAAAATCTTGTAAAATATTATAATGTTTTTGTCTAATATATTTTTTTAACTTGTATTGAATTCTTATATTTTAAAATTATAAATTTAATTCTTTAATTTTAAAAACACATTATTTTACTTATTTTCAGTATATAAATTTTATATTAATAACTATTATCACAAAATTGATGAAAGTAATTCATCTATATTTTTGTTAAAATTAAGGATTAACTAATCAATTTTTAAAATATATGATTAAAACTAATTTTAATAAAACACAAAATAACTTTTTCAAACATCTTATCTAATCACTTGTAATAGAATTCAAAATTAAATTAAACTAAAAATAACACTTTATCAATTTAAGATTACTCCCCACTCACATAAATTTAATTTATTTGATGTGAGAAGTTAAAGAATTAAAGGATACTTTTATCTTGAGTGTCATATTTTAAGGAACATTATTTTTTAGTCTTCATTTTCCATAACACTAATTCTTTGACACGCGGAAGATTATGTGCGTTCTCCAGAAGCGAGTTACGTACCAAAATGGTAAGCACAAAAAGAAAAAGGAGGGAGAGCAATAGTAGAAAAGGGGAGTGTAAAGTAAAAGCCTAATGTTGGACACAAACTAAGCGGGCCGGATCAATAAAAAGCCCAGTTAAACCCATAACACGACCTACCCGTAACAAACATTTTTTTTTTTTTTTCCAATTTGCTTCAAACCTACACTACACCGGAACGAGGTTTCTCGCTGCATTACCATTGCTGCTGTTTTTCTTTTCTCTTCCGTTTGCTTTATTTGCGTTTGTGACTCCAGATTACGTCCAAGGTAAGAATTGAGGCCCTTGATTTTAAGCTCATGTTACTGATTCTTTGTTCTGCTCAACGATTTGAAGATTAATTCTTTATGGGTTTCCATAAATTTGGGAAAATGATGCTTGGTGTTTGCCAAAATGCTATTTTTTTTTCTATTTTTTTATTTTGGGGTGAATCATGTTTCTTTCACCTGTAAAAGTTAGGTATTTAAGAAAAAGGGGTTTGTTCTCTTATTGTGTTTTTTTTTGGCATCCTGGATTTGGATTAGTAGATATTTGCTAGTGGTTCCCTTGGTTTAATATTCTATTTCCATTGTTTTGAGCTAATAGACTTCAATGAGTGTCTCAATGCTTCAAGTTTTGTTCACTTCTTTTAATTCATACGTGACTTGAGAATATGAATGGCATTGGAATCGATCTTCCTTTAAGATTTAGCAATTTGCTCCGACCAATTTACAATGTTTGAGGACTCATGCTGCACTGCTATTTTCCTTCCTAATTTTTTTATTCTAGGATTTGATTATACCGATTTTCTGATTATGTTAGTTGAAACTTGGAAGTTTGATCCATATATTATATAGACCAGGTTTGGATAAATTTCTCTAAAAACACTTATAGGAGAAGAAAATAAAAAGGTTAAATGGATTGATTGAGCTTCACCTATAAAATAAAATTAACTTATTGACTTAACTTTTATAGAAGTTCTTGCATAAACTTATGGGGGAAGCTCAGTGTATTTTACTTTCATATTTTCTTCTATAAGTATTCATGAAGTTTATCCATTCAGGGCCAATGAGTCATACAATATTTCAAAAATCTTTACAAACAAAATGTTGTTTTATCTGCTTTCAGGATATATTTATTTATCGGATTAGGGATTCACAATGTGTTAAACTAGACTGATTTGCCACCATTCTGAGAGACTACATCACAACCAGATTAGAATGAGCTTACTTTCAAGAGTAAGGCATTATTTACCCCGTGGTTTGTATAGACAACCTCTTCATCCAATAGTAGTGCAGCTTAACGGCAGTAACATAAATGTATTTTCAAGAAATTTTGGTCAACCTGCAAGGAAAGAGGAGGAGGAGGATGTAGAGGAAGTGGAAATTGACCAGAGAAGTCTCCCAGCTGATTTTGATCCGGCTACATTTGATCCCAATAATCATCGAGGCCCTCCATCAGAAAGAGTTTTCAGGCTTGTCGATGAAATTGCATCTCTTACAGTAGCTGAAGCTGCAGATTTGGGTCTGGTTCTGATGAAGAAAATGGGAGTGAAGGAGATGCCTAATGTGGGATTCATGAAAGCAGGTGCTGGAAATTTGGCTGGAATGGCAGCGAAAGCACCAACAAAGGCCGAGGAGGAGCAAAAGCCGGAAAAAACCGTGTTTGAATTGAAACTAGAGTCCTATGAAGCGGCTTCCAAGATTAAAATCATCAAGGAGGTCCGGGGCTTTACTGATCTAGGTTTGAAGGAAGCAAAGGATTTGGTGGAGAAAACACCTTCTATTATAAAGAAAGGTGTTTCAAAAGAAGAAGGGGAGAAGATAATAGAGAAACTGAAAGCTCTTGGTGCAAAAGTTGTTATGGAATGATGATCTTGTTTCTTTCAGGTTTTAGTTATCTGAAGCTTAGAAAATTTGATAATGTTGGTCAAGGATACTGCAAATTTTGCTAGTGCTGTGTTAATTTTTTAGCCTGAACTGGAATTTGATTTTATGCAGTTCTGCAACATTATTCTTCAGTTCCCTCTTAATGGAATAAAAGTCGTATTCCTACATACGATACATATTTGGGAACATATTCATTGACATTACTTTTTACAAGTAGAATTAGTGTTTTCTAGTTTTTCATGTATCAATTGGATTTTGCTGCATTTACCAGCCATGGACACTAGCAAAACAATCTTCCAACTTTTGAACCTTCATACTGGGACCATAAATGAGAGCACCAATCCAGGAATCTTCATACTTTTTCTAGTTTGTGTTAATACTCACTGTAGTAACATGGAACATGAAATAACTGATGCCTTAATCATGAAGAGATAACAAAACGAAAGCCTATTACAAAAGGTTAAAATGACCCTAGGAAATTACCTTTCTCTTTATTCATAACACTCGGAAACTACTAATATTACCTGAAAACTGATTCAGATTCTATACTGCAATTACGTTTAATATAAAAAAGACATAGTTCTGATGTTGTATGAAAACAATATATTAAACGAAATTATTATCACAAACATAGTTACAATTAAACCGGCCACTTAGTTCAGACTTTGTTAAAAATACTGGCATATTCAACCGATCAAACCCAAAACCAAAAATTCTATTAACTAAAAAAGCAAAAAATAAATAAAATTAAAATACGTCAAATTAGTGGGTCAAGAACTAGTGTACAAACTACTTTCAAGTAATACTCTTATTTATTTTTTATTAATTTTTAAATCAAAGATAAAATATTATGAGAAGAAATATAATCATTATTTAACAAAGATTACAAATAAAAATAAATTATTTTATGAATTATTACTATTTTATCAGAAAACATCAATTTACTTCTTTATATTAATTTATAATTTATTTAGAATTTTATATTATATTAATTTATCATTTTTTTTATTTTAGATGTAAATTTGTTATTATTGATTAACATTGTTATATTTTATTAAATATTACGATATGTTTGATTTTGGATTTTCTACTTATATTTTTAATGTTTAGAACTTCTAAATGATATTTTTATTATAATTTTTTTGTATAATTTTTCCTATAAAAACTATATAAAAATATTAAATTAAATTAGAAATTTATCAATGTAATGGATGAGTTGGGTTTACAGGCTTCAACCTACAACCAAACGACAATGAATATGATTGAATTGAATTGGATTTGACCCAAACAATTAAAATACTGAGTCGAAAGTGTTCGAGGTTGAGTTGCATTAGTTGTAGAACACATAGCAGTGAACACGTGTAGGGTTTGGTAATGCAGATAATATTATTAATAAATAATAAATGAATATGAAAGAATAAAAAATATATAAATAAATATATTTAATTATTATTAAATTTATAAAATTAAAATCATAAATATATATAAAAGTTATAAATTTTGATTGGTTCTCGGTTATGTACAGTAGAAGAGGAATCGAAAGAGTTGTAAGAAAACAAGTATGATTTGAATTTTGAATTAAGTAAAAAAACTACTTACTAAACCCACCAAGAAATTTAAAAGAAAGTTACACGGAGACATAATTATGTGTTATTTATATAATTAATTATTTTTTTAAGATGTAAAGTATAAATTAATTATATTTTAATTACCTGTCGATATTATTTAAATAAGTACAATTTTTTTCTCTTTGCATTCAAAAAATATATGAAAATTGGTATATAATATTAATAAGTTATATATTTTCAATTTATATATAAATGAATTTTATTTTTAATTTATTTTTTCATCTATTTTATTAAATAATTATTTTATATTAATTTCAATTTCAATTTCAATTTATTCTTATTAAATTAAAAAAATTTAATCATTTATTAATTTATTTAATTATTTTTTATAAATCAAATCAATCTTATTTATTAATATCTCTTCACCTATTTTTCTTTATTTTTTTACTCTTTTTTTAATTCAATTAACCTTTTTTTCTTTTTTCTTTATTTTCGCTCCACTTTTAGGTTGAAAGAAGAGAACATAAAAAAAAATTGAATTTTTTTATGAAGTATACATCTAGTAATCTTTTTCAAATTTTATTTTTCTTTTTCTATCTTGGATTTGATAATTTAATCTTCTTTTTCTCTTGCTTCTTTATAGAAAATAATCATAGCCATTCAACTTACAAATAAATACAATAACACATGTCCAATGGGTTTTAAAGAGATGTATTAGTTAGAATAAATAATTTGATATTTTTAATTGTTTTTTATATTCATGGTATGAAAGAAGAATCTATTCATGACAAATTCCATACCTAATAAAGTTATAACACAAAAATGAATATAAATTAATAATTTTTTAACCATTTTCAAATAACACAAAATATATAAATTAATCATTTTTAACAAAGTTTATATCTAATAAAAACCTCTTGTGTGATTCACGTTTTTGAACATAAAATATTAGAATTTGACTTAATTCATTTTATTTAGACTTCATCATATATTCATTATATTTAAAAAAAGAAAAAAGAAAAAAGAAAAAAGAAAAGAGAAAAGAGAAAAAAGAAAAAGACAATGATAAATCTATTATTGCTAATTCTTTTAATTTTTGAAATCCTTGAGTCTACACTATCTTTATCTTGATCTCATTAACCTAATAAAATTTCTTTCCATTTTTTATTATCCATTGTTAAGCCTACAATTAATATTACTTTTGAGTTGTAACTTGAGAGATAAAGTGAATTCAATCTAGTGAAATTTCTATTCTTAATAATATGTTACAATTAACCTTCATCCATTGTTATTCATTTTGGTTCTTAAAATTTTTGAATTGATTTTTATCTTGCTAAGATGGTTTTTAATAAACACATTTTACAATTATTTTTATTTACTTATTATATTTAAATTAGATTCAAACTTTTTTTTATTCAAGGATTAAAAATTGGCCAAGTTTAAGAGTTTCTGAATTTAGAGGATTGTGAATCTTTTAAGCTTGGCCAAACTATCCTCAACACAAGTCGTATATAAACAAGATAATGTATCTTTTAATTAATCAATGTGGGACTACAAGCACGAAGTAGCCAGTGCCTCTGGTCATGCCATCCTTCAGAACTTCACTCCAAGAAGGGATCAAAACCAACAGATCCGCACAGATACCGAAACAATGTAATTTTAATCAGTTATTTACAGCACATAATAGCTCACAGGTTTCACAGTTTGCTATAATTTAACGTGATTACCACCCTTTCCCATACCCAGGAAAAGAAATCATCCAATGTACAACAAGTCTCTTTTGAATAAGCAAATGACACCGGTAACCAAATTTTTGTATGAACAAAGATTTGACACAGGTTAGTATCCAAGGACTAAACTCAAGTAAAATTATTTAACAAACATGTTCTTTCCCAATATAAAAATTGATATCACCAAATCCCAGAGCTAAGTCCTGACTACAGCTCCCAACACTCTACAGATACAACATCAGCTTAGAACTACGTAATGGACAGTAGGAAAAGAAAAAAATGTACTTTATTTGTATTTTTCTCATCTTTAGATTTGTTACAAGATAACAACAAAGTAGATCCGTATAAGGGCATATTTAGAGAGAAGCTATGAACACTCCCTTGGTATGACTCAAGAAGTAAAGCATCTATACTCTCAAGATAATACATTAAAACATACCAAATGGATAGGGTAACTGCTTAAGCCTTAGATGAAATTATACAATTTAAAACAAATCACAATTGCTTTCACTTTCACTAGTACCTAAGAATTTCCCCCAGTCCACAACGCGTTTTATTTCTAACTGAGACAATGTTACAGCCAATCTCGTCAAAGTGTTTCTATCTACATCACTGCACCCAGTTCACCAATTAATAGTGGTGTAGATGTGAATGAAGCAAATATGCCCCATGTGGAAAGTAATTACTAACTAGAAAAACCGTATTTCTTTACTAAGATGTTTGGAACAAATGGCAACTTATAACCTCCGGACGCATGTTCAAAACTAAAGCAATCAAACATAAGTAAATTGTTCATTGCAGAGAGATAAGTACTACAAAAGACAAAAAAGAAGAGGTGGTCAATAAGAACTTCCCTTACATAATTTTTACGACCTACAGTATCATATCTCATCTATCCGAAACTTTAACAAATTTCATCCACTTGCAGATAGTATAATGCAAATAAATAAACAAAGTTGCAGCTAAAAGTAACCAGTTTTCTCAAAATGTCAAGTGCTGATTAACATGGTTATCTTCACACAGATCACTTTCAAATGGTAACAAATAGTCCTCTTGCATGTACGTACTGGGTCGCCAAGCTATGGTAGCATAAACCAACACAAAGCAAGGGATGACACCTAAACATAGGGCTACCTCGGGGGGCTCTGGTTGCATGTAAAGAGGGAACAAGAAAACTGCCAAGAGAAGATGCAAGATAAACAGGACTCCGGGCAACATTTTGTTTTCTAAGAGACTCATTTCTTCTCTGAGGAAAGCCAAAACTATGATGAAGAGAGAGAGAGAGAGAGAGTGAAAGAGAGGAACCCCTTTTAAGAGCTTAGTTCACTGTTGATTACCTTTTCAGGTTCTTCGATTTGAAGTTGTATCACATGTACACGGGAAACTGCTTCTAATCTTCTTTATCTGATGTAATCATAATGTTGTTACAATGCATGCATTTCCCTGAATGGATGTCCTCGCTTCCACAAAGATTCGTTTAAAACAAGTAACTAGAATCGAAGCATTGCGAAGCAGAGTAAAGAGTTGGGTTCATAGTGCTTTTTATAATACTCAGATCATGCATGTCAGCGTCGTGCAATGCATTCCAATTTCCATATTTGAGTAAGGTTTTTTCAATCCCGTGCACTACATGTCTTCGCCAAAGCAAGTAAGCAGCAAAGCATGTTTGTAACTTCTGCCTCATTTTCACGTGGGATTCAGCTCTACCAACTTGTCATTTACCACAGTTAGACCTGTTTGGTGCTGCTATTGTCTTCTATTGTGTACTTCAAACTTTCCTTAGTCATGGTAGAATTTGTTTTTTACTCTTTGATAGTGATAGTCAACTATGTACGGATTGAGACCTTCTGGATGTAAAATGAAAGGGTTTAACACTGAAAAACATAAAAAAGGCTTATATTGCTATATTTGATATAGGAATCGGACTAAGAACCTGCAATGATAAGGAGGGGGCAATGTTACAATGTAATGTGATAGTGTGATTTTCTTTTGGGTGAGATTTTGGGATGGCAGGTGAAGCCTAAAATTACTTGAGAAAAGTGGTGAAGCCTTAAATCCAAAACCAACTTATGCGGCATATTAAGTTAATTCATGTTATGAATCTAGATAGAAACTTTGAAATTATAAAAGGTTGGAAAAGAAAAAGACTCTTATACATCCAGTGTGTAACGCATTTATTACACTACCCCCAACAACTTTTACCACGTGTATTGAAAAATAAAAGAAAAGAATAAATGATATGGTTTAACCCCACACTATCATCTTTCAACGCCTCATCGGCATACTAATCAAGTCAAATACCAAATTTATTATAGGCAATTTACACAGCATGAGTTCGAACCAGTGGCTGTATTTTCAACAACAGAATAACAATTCAAACTTGGGACCAGGGGTTCCCATTAAGGAAGAACAGGGAAGAAAAATTAAAAAAAAATCAAAACTGAGTAATCCAAAAAGCCACATTTCTAGAAACATTTATACAACATTTATTTATAAACCATTATCTAAGACTCGTGCAAGGGTAATAATGCAGGTGCAAAATTACGCAACCTTGAGTAACACTCGGAATTATAAGCTACCATTCTCACGGTGACTTAGTCTCTACTGGTATCACTTATTTAACCATATCGAGTGCAGGTTGGAACCAGCCACAGGGAAAAAAACGGTCACTCGTTGTAACCGAAATTATTCCTTCGATTGCTGTCTGTTATTGTAGACAAGGCATAACAGATGTGGACCATCTGCATAATATGCTATAGTACCTACAGATGAGTAAAAGCAGCTTCGTTTCAGAACCATATTGAGAAACCCTGCACCAGAGAAAATGAACTCCACAAATTACTTGAAAGATTTTAAAAACAAATTGGAAGTGAGCATGCTGTCTTAGGATTCTTTTATCCAAAAACCTGATGAAGTGTTTGTCAACGGAGTTAATCAAATTATTTAATCATCAAAACCAATTGTAAATGTTATTATCTTTTATTAGGATATATTGTAGTAGAATAATTGTATTAATTGTATATGTGACTGTTAGCTAATTTAAAGAGAAAGGGGCAGAATATTAGTTTGTATTAAATATATATATATATATATATATATATATATATATATATGAGAGAATTCTTCAACACATTTTCTATAGTTTAACAGTGCTAACCTGTAAGCAACTCGGTGACGAAAATGTTTCTTATGTATACGCTTCTGAGGCTTATGTTTTACAATACAGTGTCTCTTCAATGCTCCTAATCACAACACTAAGACTGCCACCACTTTCCAATGCTTTAACAGCAGCTCGGTGTGCTGCTCTATGCCACTTGAGCAAATTATATGATTGCAAAACTGACCATCTAGCTTGGTTGGACATCTGTTCGAAACAAGAATGTCAAAGTTTAAATGTTATATCATAGATAAAACATAAATCATCATACCAGATGCATCAGTTGTGAAAAGACCTCAGCTGTTGACAATGGAGGATCAAGAAGAAGACAGATGCCTCTAAATAGATTTTCATCATTTTCTCCACCGTCTGCCTCACCGTAAACAAGCGCTTCAGCTGCAATTCCAGCAAAAAGTACCATGCAGTACCTAGAGCATTGGTTAGTCGTTGGTTACATTACATAAAGCATCAGTCTCACTTGAAAGGCTCAAAAATTTGAAAAGCTTGAAAAAATAATTTGGTATGGTGGAAGGGGATTTGGTAAAAAATTTTCAGCAATTAGTGGTTATGTTTCATATGTGCAACAACATAGAGCTAGTTGGGGCAGAAGAGAAGTTGTCTGTAACTAAAGATTCTACCTATTATCATTAGCACATATGGTAAATATTAGAATTTAAGTATAAGTTGATGTTCCGCATTATGCAGAAATAGTGCTGTTGTATAACATATAAATAAAAAGAGGTCACGATTAAAGATGATGTCATATAATCTTTTATTATTATCTTATATGGTGTCCCATTTGTAAAGCTCAGTTTGCCTCCCTTGCAAAAGCCCAGCGGTAAATAACCAGAAGTGGAAAAGGAAGAAAAAAGAGATTTATTGCTAAAAATATGGGAAGCATCAAAGTCGATGAACCTAGGATCTAGAGTGGTGGAATGATGCCTACAGTGAGAACACTTAAGAGAGTGTTGCACTAGTGAGAATGAACATTAGACTATTATCACTTAAAGAATCTCGAATTTAAAAGTATTTTTTTAGTCCTCCAAATTTAAAAATATTTTTTTAGTCCCAAATTTAAAAGTGGTCTTTTAAGTCTTCTAATTTGATAATAATTCATTTTAATTTTCAATGATGATGTTGAAAATTTGTTAATTTATTTAACACGTGTTTAATTTGAGAAAAAAGATTTTAATAGTGTTTGAAATATCTTTATTAACTCTCTCTTTACAATAATGCCTCTATTATGAGTCTATGATTACAACAATGTAGTCCCATCTTATTTTCTACCTTTCTTGATCTTTGCTACCTCGTCATGAACGGAGTTTTAACTTGAGTTTTTATTGAGATTAAACTATACTACTTGTGACTACAATGTGAGAATACAATGTTTCCTTTTGCTTCAATAAATTTTGGGGGATTAAAATTGTGAACAAAATTTATCTTAAAACATTATCAGATAATTTAAATTTTGAAAGTGTAGACTTGTGAGAAATCGTATCTCTAAAATTGTTAGAAAACATATTGCTGTCACTTACACCTATTCATACAATACAAAAAGTTTGGCAGAGATCTTATGGGTCAATTTTTATTTTAATTTTTCATTCGTTAATTTTTTCTTCTATAAAGGAGTAGAATGAATTAAAAATTTCACATTCAGTTTTGAATTAGAGATGTTAATTAAAAATGATGAATCAGCATCAAGAATAACCCTTAGTCTTTCATACTACATATGTGAACTAAAATGAGTTATTTTCAAATTAGAGGACTAAAAACTAATGTTTACATGTGATGGGACTAACCACTTTTAGATTTGGGCGGCTAAATTTTTTGTTTTTTTAATTTCCTAGATTAAAAATCTTTTTTTATTTTTAAATTGAGGGACTAAATATTATTTTTAAATTTAGGGGACTAAAATTAAATTTGACCTAGTTGCAAAGGATTAAATATTAGCCAACAATGTTAAAAAGCGAACTTTCACGTCACTATTTTAATTACATGTGTCATTGTTGACGTTGATGTTGTTAACCATGTTAGGATCGGGTGTATAACCACAGGAGCAGAATTACCAAAAAGAGCATTTTCTAAAATGCAAAGACTAGAAAAAAGCAATTTTTAATTTCGAGGACTAAATGAAAAAGTGACCCAAATTTGAGGGACTAACAAGATATTTAAGCCAAAAATTAAAACAAACTGACAAACATTTGCGAGTTTAAATAGATGCTATATCAGCTGAGTAACTCATTCGAGCTACTCAGAAAGTTAATCCTCATGATTCCTAAAACCTTCTAATGCACTGCTGTAACTAAAGCTATAATGTTATACACACCTGTCAAAAGCTGTACCATCAAGTCGGCCTTCAGCAAGGTCATTGGCAATTTTTTCATCCCAAAATTGAGTCCCTGCCTAAAAATCAAGGATTTACTGCAGGTAAAATGATGTTAAACAGTTAAAGAAAAAAACTTCAAGATTAAGGATTTCTTATTTACTGCAAGTAAATAAAGAAGCTTACTGTGGAAAAAAAGATTGAAGTAGAAGAACGGCAAATAAAATCTACCTTGTACTGGTAAGTATACCAGTGCAAACAAATACAAATAATACTGGTAAGTATACGAGTGCAAACAAATACAAATAATTACTGATCTCCTATGAATTAATAAATCTTTCAGGGCAGACAGTGGCAGGCAATTTTCAACAATCAACAGATAATACTGATATTGATGAAGTAACGAATGAAAATATTCAGTCATATTCAGCAACACAAACAATTGTACACACCAGTGACGGATTGAAAGGAAAACATCCCTTCCTCACTTTTTGTTGAGAATAAGTATCATTACTACCAATTTTATATCGCCTCGCATTAAAATAAAAGGAGGGCCATTAGTTGACCAGTAAACAGACTTTCCTTAAACGTATCTTTTTGCATCATATATAGTGTTTTGCTTGGTGTTTTATTAAATTTTAAAGTACAATTAGGGTAGCTGAGGTTTTTGTCATCAAATTGACAAATGACAAACAGTGCAGATTGAGAGACAGAAAGAAAAGGAACAGAAAGGAAGGGGAACTTGAGAAAGAAAAGGGGGAAGGGTAGCCCAGGGAGAACAGACATAATGACTCAATGATAAAACCAAGTATCTTACTCAAAATAAAATATATGAGAATAGTCAAATGGAAATAATATATTAGGAGATTACCAATAGGAACCATCAGAACAAATAGTGCCATTTGATGAATAAAGAATAAAAAAATACCTGTCCTTGAATGCCCATTTGCATTGCAACTATAGGGTCTAAAATCACCCCACGAATTGGGCAACCCATCAGGTAAGCTGAAATTTCATTATGATGGACCTTGTAAGTTGTAGCATATGACAGCACAAAGTGACGGGTAACCAATTAATTTAACATAATCCAAATTGTATGAGCCCCGCACTTGACCTTTAAAATCCATCAAAATAAAAACAGTATTTTACCTGTTAGTAGGTGTCCAGCTTCATGAACAAGTATTCGGCGCCTAAATGGTGGCCAGTAACTTGAGATTTGAGCTAAACAGGTACCGCCCAGCAATATAGCATCTGCTGCGGCTAGACCTAATATCACTGCAAGGTTGGGCCTGAGGTCAATTCCTTGTGATATAAGAAAGGACACCCCACCAAGAAATGCAACCAAAACAATGCTTGAACCATCTGAAAGACCCCACTTCTTGGGAGCAAGTTTAGTCACTGAACAGAAGGAAGAAAAAATTATACAAAACAACCATTCTTCAGCAGCATAAATTTTATTATAAAGGTTACTCATTACAATATAACATAAGTTAAACTATCACTTTTAGCAATTTAATAGCTAGGGGGAAAACATTTTGTCTGAAATTCATCTTCGCACCTTCCAAACCAGTTGAGGAGCTCAAGACATCTGGTGTCACTTTCCTTGGTCCCTCCAAAACTATACAAGATAGACACCAGAGGAAGGGGGAGAGAAGATAAAGGAAAAAAAAAAATATACCAGTTAGTGCATGAAAAACCTTCACCAGAATGATTATAGAAAACAAATAATATTCAAGATAAAAGTCCATACAAATTACCAGAAAATGTCAATTTGGTAAAATTAAAACACTTTTAGCCAGAAACGATTGCCTTTTGTTCACAAATAGAACAGCAAATCCAATCGTAAAACTTTCATCATCTGCTAAGAAAAAACTTTAGAGTGATTCTGGTTTTAGTCCCCCAAAATTAGTTTTAGTACCTCAAAATTGAAAAATAAAAATAAAAAAATTAGTTCCTAAATAGTTAATTTGAAGGGCTAAAATTAAATTTTTAAAACTGTTTTTAGTCCTTAGGGACTAAACCATATTTTATTAAATTTAACTACAATGAACATTTTCTTTTTAATTTGAGGGACTAAAAAATTGTTTACTGTAATTTCAGGGACTAAACATAATTAAACCATAATAGAAATACATGTCAAAAACTCCAACCAAAAGCAAATACACACAACCTCTGAAGGAAAATTCAAACATATACTACTCTAAACTACTGTTATGGAATAGCAGCCACGGCAATGTCATGGTACTACAAAATGGTGGAATCTGTACAAAACAAACGAGATTGTGTTATGTTTTTAGTGTGGTGACTTATGACAGACACAGTCCATGTAGCGTCCATGGTGAATTGTAATAATTTTTACTGTTTACTTTCCACAGAACTTTTATGTTTATCCCTCAGTTTGTGAATTATGGCTATATCAGACTTTCAGAGAATTGTATTGTTTGGAGTTTATTATCCTTCATATACGTAGCTGCCAAATTTCCACCAAAGTTCACAATGTCATCTTCCCTAATTTTATGGAAGAGTTATGGCTTGCTTCCGTAAGCCACCGTTCCCTCATAAATATTAATACTTCAAATAAAAAACTGGAATTGGACGGTCCATTATGGCAACAGTAACAGAAGGAATGATAGGCTAATTAATAAGCCTAATCTGCAAGTATATAAAGGAAGAGAAAAGTTGAAAAAGAAATATTGAACCAGAAGGCTACATGGGCCTTGGAGTAGATATGGAGAAAAGGTGGACAGGTGACAAACGATATAGTGGAAAAGAGAAAGGAGTGAGAACCAATATATGAATTGACATGAGGCACGCAAGAATAGGACGGACTCAACCAGAGACAGCCAGGGAATGATTATATTGGCATAGTAGGTGATTTTGAGAGTTGGTTCTTCTCAAGAGTGGGGTTTTCTTCATCAGTCATTTCTCTGACAATGGAATAGTTATATATCAATTTTATCCTTAGTCCTTCAATTTTATTTTGATACCAAACATTTGGTATCAGAGCTCCTCCAAGGAGCTTATGATATCAACTAGAATGGAGGCATTGGAGAGAAGAATGAAAGAATTGGGACGTGAGCTGATTGAGTCTTCTACTCAACAAATCAAAACAACCTCATCAACAAAATGAAGGAGAGGAGGAAGAGGGCAGTACTCAAGCAAAGGGGCAAAGTGGGAAAGTCAGTGACAGAATGGAAGAAAAAATAAGGCCAGAGGTTCCTTACTTCATGAAATTGTGGAATCCTATTTGAGATGTTTTTACTAATGGATATCCCAAACAGTGGATGAAATGGTTGCCATGGGCCGAATTTTGGTTCAACTCATCCTATAATGCATCCATGGGCATGAGTCCATTTCGTGCATTATATGGTAGAGAACCTCCAACTGTGATTAAATATCAGCAAGAGGGAACTGTGGTCCAGGAAGTAGTTCAGCTACTAAAATAGAGAGATACTATATTGGAACAATTGAAGATGAATTTGTCTAGAACTAGGTGCTATCAAATGGGACAAACTGCCAGATCATGATAACAAATGGGATGATAGTGTTGTAATCACTTACATATTTCCTGAAATTCACCTTGAGAACAAGGTGAAACTTGTTGGAGGGGATATTGATAGGCTTATTCATAAGACTAATTTGCAAGTATTTAAAAGAAGAGAAAAGGTGAGTAAGGAGGGTGATGGGAAAACTAATATTGGACCAGAAGGCTACATGATCGGCCTTGGAGTAGATGAGGAAAAAAGGTGAACAGGTGGCAAAGGTGATAGTGGAGAAGGGAAAGGAGTGAGATGGAATATTAAATGGACTTGTGGCATGCAAGACTTGGAGGAAGAAGATGCTGATTTGGTGACAGGGAGGGAATATGGGAGGGGGGAACGAGAGGAGGGGGGAATTTTGGGGAGGCGTAGAAGTTGGCAGAGTGGGTGATGTGAATATGACCTATGACAAGGGCTAGAGCAAGGAAAGCAAATGAAGCTCTTCAACAAGTATTGTTGATTGACCAAATTGTGTTTTGAATTAATCAATTAATGGGCTTTAGTTTGGTTTTATTGCAAGTTGTAATAAGATTCCAATTAGAAATTTAGTTATGAGTCTTTGGGAAACCAAGAGGATGTATAGCTCATTAACTTTTGGATGCCACAATTTCAGTTACAATCAATCATTAAGTAGTTTTCAATTCCTAGGTTAATACATCATTATTAGCATTTATTTTCCTTTAATGAATATTTGTAACTCTGATGACAAAACTTCTTTATAAGCTTGAATCATTTTTATTAGAAATAATAAGTTGAGTTTTATTTTTAGAAATATTAGAGTTTATTTTAGTGAGAGTGATTCTCCTAAGTTCTTGAGTGATTCAAGAACACTTGGTCTGTACACTTGGTTGTATCAAAGGACTTTCACATCTTTTGTGAGTTGCCTTCCTTGGAAAGAGTGATTCTTTCCTTCCACCTCATTACTAAATTCCTAAATTTCGTACAAAATTCTAACTCTAAAGATCCTAAATCATCCATTGTGATTCATATCAGTTGGTATTCAGAGCTCCAGTTTGAAGGTTTGAACATCAAATTGATGGCAGAGGAGGATAAAAAGAAAACGAGAAAAGAAAAATTTCAAGAAAAGAGAGAAAAAAAAAACGTTAGTGAAACACTTGAAAAGAAAAAGAGTAATCAAAAGAAGAGTGAAACACTTGAAGTGATGGAGAACTGTTTAGCTATAAAAGGTGAGTATAATGTTAGTTCTACATTCAATTTGTCAGACTTATCTCTTTTTTATGTAGATGACGAATCCGATTTGAGGACAAATCCTTTTCAAGAGGGAGAGAATGATGTGAACATGACCTATGACAAGGGTTAGAGCAAGGGAAACAAATGAAGCTCTTCAACAAGTATTATTGGTTGACTAAATTATGTTTTGAATTAATAAATTAATGGACTTTAGTTTGATTTTATTGCAAGTTGTAATAAGGGCCCAATTGGAAATTTAGTTATCAGTCTTTGGGAGACCAAGAGAGTGTATAATTGATTAACTTTTGGATGCCATAATTTCAATTACAATCAATCATTAAGTAGTTTTCAATTCCTAGGTTAATAAATCATTATTAGCATTTATTTTCCTTTAATGAATTTTTGTAACTCTGATGGCAAAACTTCTTTATAAGCTGAACCATTTTTAGAAATAACAAGTTGAGTTTTATTTTTAGAAATATTAAAGTTTATCTCTTTTATCTTAGTGAGAGTGATTCTCCTAAGTTCTTGAGTGATTCAGGAACACTTGGTTGTATCAAAGGACTTTCACATCCTTTGTGAGTTGCCTTCCTTGAAAAGAGTGATTCTTTCCTTCCACCTTATCACTAAATTCCTAAATTTCTTACAAGATTCTAACTCTAAAGATCCTAAATCACCTCTTGTGATTCATATTAGTTGGTATTCAGAGCCTTGGTTTAAAGGTTTGAACATCAAATTGATGGCAGAGGAGGATAAAAAGAAAATGAGAGAAAAAAAATTTCAAGAGAGAAAAAAAAATGTTAGTGAAACACTTGAGAAAAAAAAGAGTGATCAAAAGAAAAGTGAAACACTTGAAGTGAGAAAGAACTATTTAGCCATAAAAAGTGAGTATAATGTTAGTTACACATTCAATTTGTCAGACTTATCTCTTTTTTATGTAGATGATGAATCCGATTTGAGGAAAAATCCTTTTTAAGAAGGAGAGAATAATGTAAACATGACCTATGACAAAGGCTAGAGCAAGGGAAGCAAATGAAGTTCTTCAACAAATATTGTTGGTTGACCAAATTATGTTTTGAATTAATCAATTAATGAACTTTAGTTTGGTTTTATTGCAAGTTGTAATAAGGGCTCAATTGAAAATTTAATTATTAGTCTTTGGGAGACCAAAAGGGTGTATAGCTGATTGACTTTTGGATGCCACAATTTCAGTTACAATCAATTATTAAGTAGTTTTCAATTCCTAGGTTAATAAATCATTATTAGCATTTATTTTCCTTTAATGAATATTTGTAACTCTGATGGCAAAACTTCTTTATAAACTGAATCATTTTTATCAGAAATAACAAGTTGAGTTTTATTTTTAGAAATATTAGAGTTTATCTCTTTTATCTTAGTGAGAGTGATTCTCCTAAGTTCTTGAGTGATTTAAGAACACTTGGCTATATCAAAGGACTTTCACATCCTTTCTAAGTTGCCTTCTTTGGAAATAATGATTCTTTCCTTCCACCTACCTTATCACTAAATTCCTAAATTTCTTATAAGATTTTAATCCTAAAGATCCTAAATCATCCCTTGTGATTCATATCGGTGGATGATTCTGAGATGGAGCTTGGCTTTTCAAAAGTGGGTTTTCTTTATTGTATCAGTCATTTCTTTGACAATCGGATAGTTATACGATATTTTTATCCTCTGTCCTTCTATTTTATTTGGATACCTACCAAGGAGTAAGAAACGCAACAATAGCATTAATAGGCACGCACATGTAATCAAAACAAGATTATGTCTCACTTTTAAATTTCACTTAATAATGTGCTCAAATTCAATACGGGGAAACAGGAAAACTACTTGATCATCCAGAATCTAACATCATCATCATAGAGAATCTAACATCATGTTAGGCTGTTAGCTGATATCTCATCATTGATCTACTATCCAACACACAACTCTACCTTGTGCAGAAATTCAATAAAGAGGCAGCAAGAAACTACTTGACCACAGAGGCCCTATTATAATACTTGGAATGAACCCTCCTAAAAGCTTAAGCTATTCAGTGACACTCCTATACATTTATATTGACACCCCCTCCAGCAAACACGTCACACTATGTAACCTTACATGCAGTAGTTGTAAATGTTACACCTCATGGACTGTTAGTATAATTTGGTTAACAACTTTTAATTATAACAGTATCCATAATAGAAAGTCAGTATATTCTAATTAAAGTTATTATTATTATTATTATTATTATTAAGTTTAATTACTCATTTATCTCTATAGTAACAAAACTTTCTTTTAGTTTCTATGCTAGAAAACATTCCAATTTACTCTCTGTACACATTTTTTTTAACCTCAGTCCTCAACCTAGGGAATTAATCAGATTAAAATGAAATGTACCGGTACTAAAATGCATGAGTCGGGACAAAGGGGAAATTTTATAAATATAGTAACTACATGAATAACTAAACATTTGTAATATTATCTTAACATTAATTATTACTAATATTATTTATTTTTATTATCTAGATAAGAAGATGATGAAAACTCACCAATGTTTCTGCATTTACCAAAATTGGGCAAGAAACCCCTATCTCTGAGGAACCTGTAAGCGTTAGCGACAAGCTTCATGTCATCAGCGTTCAAGCACGTGTCGAGAACCTCCCAATCCCTCTGCGGACCGAACCGTTCTAACTCGAGGAACCGGAGCCGAGTCGACTCGGTTGCCAGAGAAACGCTGTCGAGAAGTGGCTCCACTGGGCGTGGGCGTTCAGCTTCGAGGGACTTCAAGAACCTCAGGGCTCCGGCGAGATCCTTCCGCTTCACCGCCTCCTCGTACTCCCGCCATTCTCGGAAGGCTCTGCGTATGGGACTCGTGGCAGGAAAAGTGCGCGAAAATCCGTGGGAAGATGGAGGGGAAACGAGAAAGTGAGGGAAAATTTGGAGGTTGGAGAACAAGCCACAAACAGCCATGAAACAGTAAGGGGAAAAATGGTAAAAATGGTAGCTCTGTGTGTGTGTGTGACTGAGAGCCAAAAATAACTAGATTTTTTAGTTTTTAGGTTGAGATGGTTTTTATTTTTATTTTTTTCATTCAAAATATAGTCAATGGGAAAAGATAAAGTTTGACCCTAAATTGCAATTAATATTCTCTCCTTAGTGCCTATTTCTTTTCTTTCCTTTCAGAATGTGAGATTTATTTTTCTTTTTTTTATAATTTTATATTTCATATTTTTGATGGTATAATTGATAAATAATTTGGAGTTGCTTCTCATACAATTAAAAAAAATAATTAAAGAGAATCTTTTCAGAAAAAGGAGCTAATGTATTTTGTTGGACAAAAATCATCTTTAAAACTTTACAAGATCTCGCAATATTTTTTTGACTTTCATTTCCCGAGAATGGGAGTGGGAGGTTTGGAGAACCAAGGACTTTGGGTTTGTGGGAGGAATTACTAGTAATCTTGAGTGAAAATAAAATTTGTTGTTAAGATTTATATAAATTATTTAAATTAATATATAATATATATTTATTAAATATAAAGTTTGGATAATATAAGTTGTAAATGTATATAATTTATATTTAAATTTATATAATAAATATTCATACAGTTTATCTAATATAATTAAATATAAAATCATATAATTTATAAATTATATAAATAAATTCAACGACTTTATATAATTATATTTTTATATAAAATATAATTACATTATTTTATTAATAATATAATATAAATAAAGTAATATATAAGTTATATTCTCAAATTATAATTAATTAAAACTATATAATCATATATGTTATAAGGAGGGGAGTGCGGGTCCACGGTCCTAAAAAAAATAATTTTTTTCAAGTTTTTATTAAAAAAATATATTACGGTTTCCCTTAATATTTATTTATCTGAATTCCTCTCTTAAAATTAATTTTCTTATATCCGTCTGAATATTATAAACATTATAATAAAATTATTTATTGATTTAAATGATGTACATGTTAATGCACTTGAAATTTATAAATTTATAGAGGTATAAATATTATTTTATAAATTTATACAATTTCATATTATATTATAAATAGATATATATAATTATCTAAATTATAGATGCTTATTATTATGTAATTTATATATTATTTGTAATGTTATATATATATATATATATATAACATTTTAAACTTATAAAATAAATTTAATTAAAAAAAATCTATAGAGGTTGTTTATTTTCTAACCTATTAAAATTGGATAAAAGACCGATTAGACTAGAGTATTATAATTAAAACGGACTACAAATTTTTGTTCATCACGTTAAAAGATGGACTAATTGTTATAAAAAATAGAATGACTAAATACATTTAAAAGAGGGTGAATTGTTTTGAAATCTAACCAATTAATTAATTGAATCTTTGTATGGAAATCAAATTGGAAAAAGAATTTGAGATGTGTTAAGGTTTCAAAAACACCAAGATAAAAAAGAGAAAAACAACAATACAAGAATTTTACAAGTGGTTTGATTCCGTTGTATCTACATTCTATTATTCAAGTCACCTTAATTTGAATTTCCACTCAAACTTTTCAATATTCAGCTTACAACATAACCTGCATATCTTGAATAACAAAATACCTTAATCAAGATCTAAGAAAAATCACATCACTTAAAAATGATAATAACACAATTTTCAAGTTCTCTTGTTCAGCTCACAAACATCAACAAAGATTTATAAAATGAAAAGATAAAAACAAATTCATATGAATTTTGAGATACACAATCCTATAGCCAAACAATTTCACATTTGAATTTGATTTGCTTAATATGTTTTACAGATTTAAAACGTTGTCTTGATGTCTACTAAAACTTTCTTTTACTTGATAGTTTGTTAAGTTGTATATAATTGATGAAAATTTTCTTTTTTTAAAGAGTTGAATATGTTACCACTGATTCAGATAATCGATTAATCACAAATCTAATTGATTATTTATGTCCAGTAATAGAAATAATGTAAGCAATGTAATCGTTAAGTAACATTATCAACACATGGTACCAAAGTATGAGATGTAGTCATATAATCGATTAAGTAATAATATAATCAATTATTAGTACATAATATCAAAATATGAGTTTGAGTCATATAATAGTACTGATCTAATCCATTATTACATATTTTAATTGATTCAATTTTAACATATTTGATTAGTTATTTTATCTTTTTTATTTTAAATATAGATTAAATCATTTGACTTTATCAATAACTACTCACATACAACTATCTAGATATTTATTAGGACATTATCAAAAATAATTTTCAATAATTCTTGGTTAACGCTAACATGCTAATGGACAGTTTGTCAATTTTTTTTAATAAACCCTTATTTATATGAATATTTTTAAGTTTTGACTCATTATTAATATCTTTATTGGATAAATTTAGAAAATCATCATATTTTCTTGTTGAAATACTCAAATTAAGTTTAATTTAGTAGTATTTATAATTTAAATTATAATATATTGATATATTACAGTAACATAACACACAAAAGTATAATATTTTTTATTTTTAATCTTAATATATAAATATTTTTTAAAAGTAAACTAGCAAGTGAATCCCCTATGTCATGTTCTTAGTCCGCCAAGTTTCTGAGTTAGACAAGATATGCCAAAGTGAGTTAACAAACCAAAACCCTAGACCCGCTAATTTTAACATCATTAGTTTTAGTAAATTTAGCTTCTACACATTTTAAATCATAATCTAGAAAGTGTAATATATAATTAAAATGAACAAAAAGATAAAAAGGTCTCATAATAAATATATATATATATATATATATATATATATATATATATATATTAAACATTTCACAAAATAATAATGATTATTAAATATTTGCACTTTTATCATGAATATTTAAATATAGCAAGCAAATAAAAAATATGTATTTTTAACAATTATTAGAGACTTAAATATCCTATACATATGTAATAGTTAAATATTACACTTATTATTTTGATGATAATAAATATAATTAAATTTTGAGTATTTAGTACTGTGTATTAAAATAAACTAAGAAAGTAAGTTGTACTCAATTCTTGAAGCTTAAGTAAACTCAAGTAACACAAATGAGTACAAAAGACTATTTATAGTTATTGTTCTGTTTTAAAACAAGAGTGCATCGATATTATATTCGCTATGATAACATCGTTAGGATAAATTCTCATGTCCGATGTATTATTCGCTTTGGAACTCTCTGTTCATCACAGTTGTATCCTTAAAAAGCGTCTCGAAGGGTTAAGAGAGGAAAATGTATATAAATTATCATTGACCTCGACTCCTAAGCAACAATGTGGGATTCACCATGAGTGTACCGGAACATAAGCCCCCAGTCGATGACTAAGGGATGTATTAGTGGAGCCAGACTCTACTCTTGGTTCCACGGTGGACGTCAATGTTCCATCTAAGAACGAGAGTGTCACATCATTATGTCTGCTATAATAACATTATTAGGGTCAATTTTCACATTCAAGGTATTAGCGTATGAGGGCGTAGCATTTTTATGTATCATGCCCCCACACATGTTGGAATTCACACCATGGCTCACGATTATGACCTAGGGGTCAATCTGCCCTTTGGGGGTACGAGAACATCTTTGTCGTGTTGATATCCTTCAATATCTGTCTATTTGTCATATTGGTTGGGATGTGTATTCCTCTTTGTAATCAGAGTTTGTCCTCTGTTGGTGGAGTGTATGGGTCATTATCAAACCCAATTAATGAAGTTTAAGTGGACTATATAATATATAAACTAATAAACATAATAGATCATCTTATGGATTAAACTCAACTAATACATGTAAAACTTCAAGTTGACTAATATAATATATGTTATTTCAATTCATGATTACTAGAATTATTACATTGAATTCAACAACAACACAAACCCTAAGGACATTATTTACCCATAATTTAAATTTTCTTTTTGGAGTATACTAAGATCAAAGTAAATAAAAGTAGAATAACTTAAAGATATTATTCGTGAATTGCTTGCTAACCAATGTTAAAAGTTATCACATACTCTAACAAATTAAGAGACATTTTTGAAGTATTTGAAGCTATATTAGAGTGAGCTTTAACCTAATATCTATGCAGGAAGATTGTAAAAAAGTATTCAACCATGTAGAAATAACAAGAAAAAGTGAGAAAAGTTATGTACGCTAACAAACATTGTGAAAATATCATTTAAAATTATATTCTTTTATTTCTTAGAGTTAAGATAAACTTTCATTTGTATATCCTTCACTTTATGAAAATTATTCTTTTATATACAAGGGACTATCTTATATCCTTTCTATAATTACTTATAATCTCTACAAAACTTCAATGTGTAACGCCTAAAGGGTTTAAAAATGAATGGTCACTACTAAAAAATCATTAAATTCTTGTCATTTTTCCTATAATTTTGTTTTTGGCAAAAAATACTTGCAATTTTTTCTATAAAAATATTTCATAAAAAGTTATTACAAATTTATTTGAAAATTTATTTATTCCAAATAATATGTAAGATGCTTTTATAAAAATTAATGGCAAGAAGTTCTTGCAAAATTTTCTTTCATTTTATAATTGTAATTTTTTGTTGCAATTATACATTTGTTAATGAAAATCATTTTTATCATTTTTTTTAATAAAATTAATAAAAAGAAGACTGAAAGATATTTTTAAAAATGGCAACAAAGTTTAAAATAATTTTTTTTGCCAATTTTTTTAATTATTTTTTTAAGAAAAATAATAAAATAATTTTTAATTAATTACTTTTAAAATAATTATAATTATAATAGTTTATTGAGATATAAAAAAAAACTGAGAGTTGATTTGCATTCTTCCGAGTTTCACTCGCATTTAGTTGTTGGTTCAATCTCTATTCCACATTGTTGCTTGAATCACTAATTGGCGTGTTCTTGAAAGAGGTTGTTGCTTGCAAGCTCCTCA